CGGCGCGCCGCCCAGCCGCCGGCCCAAAGGCGACCCCTTCGGCTCCGGCGCGCGACGCGACACCGCGGAGCCGCCGCCCAGCAGCCGCCCGCCGCCCAGCCGCCGGGAGGCAGGCCACAGCCGCTGTGGGCGGCGCGACGGCCCCGTCGGCCGCCACGGGGGCAACGCCCCGCCCCGCTCCCCTCCCGGGCAAGCGCCGAAAGCAGCACCGCCCGGGTGCGCCTCGGGCCGGTGGCGTAGCGGACACGCAGAGATCTGCGCCCCCGGCCCCTCCTCCTCCTCCCTAGTGACCTCACCCCCCCGCCCCCCTCTTCCCCTCCCGCAGGCAAGTCTCAGCCGTCGCGCAGCGGCGACGGCGGCAGTGTGTACCGGGTGCTGTAGCCGCGTACAAGGGCTCGCTACAGCACCCGACTCGGTGTGTGTGATTGAGTGTTTCTCTCACGACGGTGATGGAGATAGAGAGGGGCGTGGAGTCTGGCGAGGCGCGGCCTCGGTCGGGTCTGGCGTCCGGGGCGAGAGTGCGGTTTGACGGATCGCGGCGAGCAACGTACAGGTATGTGTGAGCGAAAAGCAAGACGACTGCTGCGCAAACTCGCTCCGAAGACAGGGCCGGGGCTGGGCCGGGGCACACACGTGAGCGACAGCGAGGGGGGAGACACTGCGTGACCCGCATGCAAGCGCCGACGACGCGCACCGTCTCGGCGAGTAAGAGACAGGTTGTGACACTCTTCATGAATGGGTAACTCGCGCACAGCGAGCAGTTTGCGACGGGATTTCGCCAGAGGCGCCGGCGCTGGAGGAGATTTGGAGCATGGCCTGTGAGGGCTGCCGTAGGAAACCCCGCCGACGGCTGACAATGGATAAACGGATAACGAACGCGCTTCTCCGTCGCAAGCGCGGCGGACACGCAGCTGCGGAACATGGAGCTAGCGCCACGCCGAGCTGCGGCCCGAGGAGTCGAATGACTGCTCCCGCAAGCACGCCCGGCGGTCCGGCTTGACGTTTTTCTGCTCGCTCGCCACGAACGATTGCGCGGCGTGGTCCAGCGGCGAGGAGCAAGCGTCGGCGCCTTTTTAAGCCGCGTGTGGCGAGGGCGTGTTCTGCTGCGCTGCTGGGTGAGCTCGCGCGACGCGACACAAGCGAGCCACAAGCGAGCTGGCGAGGTCTCGGACCACACCAAGCGTAACGTCACGGATTCGTCTTTCATACTTACCTGGATGGGTAGTTCCTGCGATCAAGCAGACAGGACTACGTTCCTCGGGTGCACCCTTGCACGATCGGTCGCTGCCAAGGAGCAGGGCCCTTCACAGAGGGGTACCTACATCACAATATATTCGAGCGGTGTTAGCAGCTTGCTGCCTACACCTTTGTAAATTTGGGCCTGGCTTATATATTAATCTATTTTTACATTATTTATGTTATATTTATTTATTATTTTATTATTTATGCTTGGCTTGGCTTTGCTTGGGGCTTGACCTGGGGCTTGACCTGGGGCTTGAAGGAGTGTGTGTGTAACCCCTAAATGGCTAGCTAAAAACGGGGTCCAAGGGGATAGGGTCGACTTTGGTGAGGCCTGAGTGGTTGAGCCTTGGGCTTCTGGCGCGCGTCTATCCAGAATTCACCCGCCCAGCGCCCAAGCACCTCTCAGCATGCGTAAAGAGGGTGTTGCACATTACTTGCTGAGACTTGGAGGCGAGGGACGGCAAAGACGTCACCTCGAAAATTCCCTTAAACACGTCCGTCGCCGCCACAGGACGCACGCCAGACGGGGGCAGCGATCGCCGATTCACTTTCTCTCCACAGGTGTCTCTCTCTCTCCACAGGTTGCTACTAGACAGGTACACACGTACACACGTACCGCAGCGTCGCAGAGTGCAGCAACGCCGGTTCCGAACCCCCGGCGGGAATCCCCTAACAAGTTTGGCTATTGCAACTGAAGCCGAAAGCCACACCCCGACTAGTCTTTAATAAGAGTCTTTTTGATGAGCCGTATATCATGGCGCAAGTGCGCGGCGGGTTACGCCTCGTGGCTCACATTGGGCTCTCCCCCACTTCTCGCCAACCCACTAAATTGCAGCAGAGTTCTCTGCGCCTCGAAGTACTCGAGTGCGGAAAACGGTGGACCAGCTGCTTCCCCCATATGGCGCTTGCGCCGCGCAGCGTGGGCGCGGCATCCGGGACGGATGCGGGCCGCTGTCTCGCGGGATCGCTGGGCGCCGCTCGGCTCCCCACGCGCCGCCGAGCTGCGATGGCGCAACCGCAACGGGCTGCCCCTCCTCGGCTCCCGCCCCGGGGCTGCCGAAATAGGTGCCCCGAGCCACCGTTAGCTGCTGTTGCGGCGCGGCGCGGAGATCAACAAGCAGAGCAGCAGAGGCGGCACCGCGCTGATGCACGCCGCCTCCAACAACCACCCCGCCGTCGTGCTCCGCCTGCTGCGGGCGGGCGCAGACGCGGCGGCGCGCACCAATAAGACGGCGCTGCAGTGGGCAAAGGAGAATGGCCACGCCGAGTGCGTGCGCGCCTTCGAGGAGCATGCGGCGGCGGCGAGGGCGGCGGAGGCGGCGGCGAGGGAGGCGGAGAGAGCGGCGGCAGAGGCGGAGGCGACGCGGCATGCCGAGGCGCTGCTGGCGGGGGAGGAGGCGGAGAAGGAGGCGGGGGAGCGCGCCAGGGAGAGCAAGAAGGGGAAGAAGAAGAAGAAGAAGAGGGGGAAGGGCGGCGGGGGCGGCGCTGGGCCGTCGCAGGAAACCGAGGATGAGGCAGCGCTGGCGACGGGAGAGGAGGCGGAGTTGGCGGCGGCGCTAGAGGAGAGCGCGAGGCTGGAGGTCGGGGCGACGCGTGCGGCGGGGGATCAGGCGCGAGTCGCCGAGGGCGTTTCGTCACCGGCGGCGGAGGCGCCGCCTGAGGGAGAGGAGGAGCCGCCGGACGACTTCATCTGCCCGATCACGACCGAGGTCATGAGCGACCCGGTGATGGCGGCCGACGGGCATGCCTACGAGCGGTCGGCGATCGAGCGCTGGCTCGCGACCAAGTCGACGAGCCCGATGACGGGCGAGGAGCTCCAGCACACTTGCCTCGCCAATCATCACATGCTCCGCCGAATGATTCGAGAGTGGGGAGAGACGCACTCGGCACGATAGTAGGGAAGAAAGACTGGTTGGGTAGTAGTCTACTGGGCTGGGTTTTTAGGCATTGTGGGGTTGGCTCTCCCATCGACCCTCATGACCTCCTGCGGTCTCTGAGATGGACACCAGTGGGTGTGGGACCACAGCCAGGATACACTCGAAGGCTGGGTAAGCAGTAGAGGTCGATACTCGGCGCGTCCCACATGGTCTGTGTCGCTGTCGGCACGCTGTCGACAGGACGTCGAGCGACACCGGTGGCAGTGCCACCCAGGAGTGGTCGGGCGGTCTCCTGTCATGAGAGAGCCACCATGTGATCCGTATGATGATTCCTGACAACCGCCTCAGTCAACTTTCGTCACAGTTCCCGCTCTGAGAGGAGCTGCGGGTCAGTTCGACAGCTGGAGCTGTGTCGCCGGCGTGCGGCGGCCTGCCTCCGGAGGTGCCTCTGAGGTGGACATTTTTTGGTCACCGTGAGAGAACGCGTTTGAATTTTCACTCCGGAACTTCAACTCCGCACGCGCACCGGCCAGGGCTACAATAGTGCCAGTGAGGCGAAGGCGCGAGTCGGAAGGCCGCGACCGTCATTTGGTCCCGCGTCCACACACGCCGCGGCACCGAGGGGGCGCATCCAGTAGGAATGCGGGGCATGCGGAAAGGTACCCCCCCCCCCCCCCCCCCGTCTTCCTCCCGATTACCTGGCTACACGCTTCACTCCGGTTACTCGTGTCACTCCGCCACACGTACAGCCCGCCCGCCCGCGCGCCCGCCGCCTCGACCCTCATCCTCCGCGCTCGCGCAGGTCTGTGTCGCTTCTGACCTCTCTCGCGTCCCTCGGCTTCTGGCGCCCCTCCGACGCCACCTCGGAGCTTCACCGCTGTGACTCAGAGACGTGGAGCTCCCTCCCGAGCTACCTCCCGCCGCCGCCTTCGGCGAGCACATCCAAGCCTCGTCCGTGTCGGCTCCTTCTCCAGTGAAGGTGCTCGCCCGCGCCGGCGCTCGCCCGCGCTGGCGGCGCTCGCCCGCCACCGCGCTGTCGCGGCAATCGCGGTGCTCACCGCGCCAGCGATGTGGTCGTTCAAGCACTGCCCTGCCCGGCACAACCAGGATAGTGGCACGGCACCCGCGGCGCTCCTGTGCTCGCGACGGCCCGCGCTGCGCGTCGGTCGCGACCTACGCGCCGGCGCTCAGCGCACCCAAGTCCAATCTGGAGTTGATCGTTGCGTCCCTTTCGCGAGGCGGTGCTATGATGTAACATACTTCCGGGCCGGTGTGCGGGGAGCGAACCTTAACGACCGCCCAGAAGCTTTCTGAGCGAACCAATCGGGCCAGGATCATCAGCATATGTCCCCTGCACAACATCGTGGGCGTTTGAGCGGTATTTGAGGAGCACCGCGACTCTGAAGTTCGGCCGGGTGGTCTGCAGACCCCCCCCCCCCGGAGCAGCAGAGGCTCCGTGGGGTCGAAAAGTCGACGCTGGGAGTCGCACTCGTCAAACCGTCGCAACACCACGCGGTACGCACATACCGCCCACATCCCCTCCACCGCTGAGAAGGCGCAGATCGACCGCCGGGCCGCGTAGCCGTCGTTAAGGAGCGGTTTTTGGAGCCGTACGAAGAGGTCCCAGACGGGCGAACATGCGGTTTTTCGACGACCACACGCGATGTGGTATCTGGTTTTTGCTAAAAACGGGCCGCCTAGTGCAGCATCACTAGTACAACACGCAACCACACTGAAAGCTCCACACTAGCCGGTATAGGCGAGCGCCGACGGCGTCACGGTCGCCGGAGTGGACGCACTGCACACACTGTGACCGTGTCGTGGGTGTGACAGTGCGCGACACAACCGTCGGCGCCGCGCTATCGCGGCGCCCCGCAGTCTACACGCCTCAGGCACACCCCTGAACGCGCCATGGGCGCGCAGATACACCGCAGCGCCGTGGAGAATCCACACCTGGCAGGTCCCGAGCCCCGTCCTGGGCCTCCAGGCGGCCGAAGATCGGCGTTCGGGCAGGATGAACTTGTCGGAAATGGAGCAAACTTGGCGCGGCTCGTCGCTCGCGGTACCGGGTGAGCCTGGATAGGGCAAAATCTGGGGTGAATACGAGGGACAGAGGTCGCAAGTTTGTCGCGCAAGTTTGCGCGGCGTGGCGCTGCCCCGCTGCCGAGGGCACCACCAACCCGTGGCGGCGGCATTTCCAGCCCAAATTGGGCGTTCCGTGCGCCTTGCCGGCGAGAGTGGACGGGCTGTGCATCGTGGGGGGGGGTGAGTGGGAGGGAGGTGGTCGTGTGCCTACTTTGTCGGCCGCGCGCGAGGAAAATACTGGGTGTGAGGCGCGCAGGAGGCGAGGATGGGCGCGCCGGCGGTCGAGCCGCCGAACAATTCGACGTGGCGCAGCTCCGCGCCGGCGGGGACGACCGAGCACATGATGTCGGCGGCGGTCACGCGACGAGGGAGAGCCGCAGGAGCCCTCTGTGGAGCAGGCGCGCGAAAGCAGCGATGAGTGGCGCTTCGTCAGCCACCTGTGGGCGGTCAGCGGGGTGACGCCACGCCTCAGCGAGCTGGATCCGGGAAGGGCAAGGGGTCACGCGGGCCCTGTCTGCAGCAGCAGTGCTAACTAAAACGACAAAATTCCGGATGGACCGGAGAGTGTCAGCTTTCTCGACGCACCGTGCTCGGCCTCGCTGAAAAGCTGGCTGGTGGTCGCCGCAGCGCGCCGGCGCGACTCCAACTGGTTGGGCACCTCGGCTGGGTCCATCAGCACGAGGCCCGCGCCGTCGGGCGGCCCCGGGAGCGCATGATGCCCCTCCGAGAGGCGCTGACGCCCCGCCGAGATCGCGCTGGTTTGGCACGAAAAACACGAGGCGCCAGGGGGGGGGGTCAAGTATGTTACATCATAGTGCGGACTGCCAGAGGCCTCGGTCTCCCCTCTGCCCGTGCGACTTTCGCTAACTCCCTCGAGCGTAGATCGTCTCTCTTCGGCGCGCTCGAGCACGTTTGGCACCAAGAGGCTTTGATTCTTACGACCCTCACCCGCCAAGGCAGGTGTGCACTCTGCTAGTACTTGTGTACTCACACCACAACACTGTGGGGTGTGCCCGAGCATGATGTATGTGCGCGTCTGTGTGTGTGTGGGACAGACGTTGTTGTCCTATGCGCGGGGCTTCCCGCGGGGACCGAAGACGTAACAGCAGCAGCAGCAGCAGCAGCAAAATGCCTGCGGCGAGGGCGGTCGAGTGCACGGAGCTAAGTGCCCCGCCGTCCTCGCAGGAGTCGCTTAGGCGGCTCCCGTGGTGTACCTGTGTTAGTGCCACGCAAAGGTCGACAGCCTGGACCCGAAGCCGAGCTGTACGACAATTTCGTCTACTCGGTGGAGGCCGATACCATGGGCTTCTACACCTCAAGCATCAGCAGTGTGGAAGCGTCACTCGGACCGCCGACCGATGACTGCAAGCCCAATGTCGATGCCCTCGCCGCACATATGCAACGTTATCTAACACGACAGTCGGCGCTCCACGCCCCGAGCACGAGGGTGCTATTCAGCGCGCCGGAGAGGAGGGGAGACAAGCCACGCCGCCACGCGATCGGCCTGGAAAGGCCCGCGACCCCCCCTTCCCCAAAAACCGCGGCGCGCCTCCCAACCGTGAGAACCGCCCGAAACCAAGTGCCGGGGGCGCCAAGGTATGACGGCAAAGGCGGGCGTAAGCCTGGCGGGAAGGAGCCCGCTGATAAGGCAGCGCTCCGCTGCCACCGGTGTGGCGCTTCAGGGCACACCCGCAGTGAGTGCCCCAACGGAAGCCGAAGCAAAGCTGCCCCTTCATCATGCCTAACGGGCGCAAGTGCGGCCAAGACCACCACATTAGCACGTGCTGGTACAAGGACCCAAGCAAGTGCCCCAACCCGCGTATTCGCGAGAGAATCCAAGAGAAGCTCAAACGGGCGAGCACCTCGTCGTCGCAGATGCTCACAGTGGTGAACGACGACGACTGGAACGGAGGCACCGTTGAATGCCTCGTCACACAGCCCCTCCGGGAGCCGGAGGAATCGGCCCCACGACAGCCGACTGGCACGGAAGGAACGGCGCCCACAGCAAATACTAGCGGCCTCCTCGAAAAGACGCGCGCGAAGGTCTAGTCGGATGCTGGCGTCGCCGCTGGCTCTGCTGATATATAAAATGAACTCGGGGGCACGGGACGCGGCACAAACGGGGCACAAACGCTCTGCTGAGTGAGTGAGTGAGTATTCTTGATACGAAACCACGACGATACACGAGAGAGAGAGAGAGAACCTGCTTCTCCACGAGACATTCGGCGGCGGCTTCTCGCCGCCAGCAGTTGCAAAGATCAACCGCCTTGCGCGCAAGGCTCAACGCTCGGGCGTTGACCGCACCGCGTACCCTCCCCACTCCCGCCTCTCTTTTGTGTCACACCACGCGGAACGCATCTCCATCGCTTCGGTGAAGGGGGTGAACCGTGCCATCCTCGATCGCCGTGCAAAGCTCGCTTCCGAGCTCTCACGCCGCGCGTAGGGCCCTTAGGGGCCTAGAGAACACAACCCCCTCTCTCTTTTCTCCCAGTAAGCTAAAAGTACAGTACACGAGGACACGGACTAGGTAGGTAGGTAGACTAACGAACCGGTCTCGAGGTTTCGCGCTAAATCACGGGGTGGGGGCCTGTTGTGCATCGTCGCTGTGGCTCCTGTTGCCACCGTGCGCGGGTTCTTCTCACGGCTCGTGCTCCTCAAAATTGTGCCGCGCCATGCCCCGCGGCGCGAAGCCCAAGCTCTACTACAACCCCGAGATGTCGACCCACACGCACCCGTGGGCTCATGTCGAAAAGCGAACCCGCGCCAGCGACGTCTACGAGCACTTGGACCGCGCCGGGCTGCTCGGCTCGGTGCAAGTACTCCCGGGCCACAGCGCGTCGGACGAGGAGCTGCGCACCGTCCACACGCAGCGCCACATCGACGAGGTCGGTCGCATGACAGCCGCCGCCCGCGCCGACCCGACGAACCGTGAGCTGTGCGAGCCTGACGGGCCGGGAGGCGTCTACTACTCGGGGCACGCCGACGCGGCCGCGCGGCTGGCCTGCGGCTGCGTGATCGACGCGGCGGTGGGCGTGCTGCAGGACTCGAAGAATGCCACCGCCACCCGCGCATCGCCCGGCGACAAGGCTCGCCGTCGCGCGCCGCCCGCCTTTGCCATTGTGCGGCCTCCAGGGCACCACGCGGGCGCTGACCCGACCGACGGCCACCACGCCGAGGGCTTCTGCTTCTACAACTCGGTGGCGGTGGCGGCAGGGGTCGTGCTCGCCTCCGGCGACGCGAAGAAGGTTGCCATCCTCGATTGGGATGTCCGCCACGGTAAGGTGTGAACAGCGTCTCTTCACACCCACGGCTGTGAATAGGTTGCCATCCTCGATTGGGATGTCCACCACGGTAAGGTGTGAACAGCGTCTCTTCACACCCACTGCTGTGAATAGGTTGCCATCCTCGATTGGGATGTCCACCACGGTAACCTATCGGGGAAAACGGGGAGATATGGGGAGATATGGGGAGATAGCTGCCGTCGGTGCCTCGCAAGCAGCAGCACGCTCTTGTCTTCTCTTCTCTTCTCTTCTATTCTCTTCTGGGGCGCAGAGCCCCGCCCGGAGGGGTGTGAACAGCGTCTCTTCACACCCGCTGCTGTGAATAGGTAACGGCACGCAGAGCCTCTTCTACGAGGAGGGCCGCTGCCTCTAGAAGCCCACTACGTATTCTTGTGCCCCAGCCAGCACTCGGTAGGACACGTCCTCCGCCGTCTTCCGCTGTGTTCCGCTGTATTCTCACTGTACTCCGATCCGTTGTCTTCACGCGGTGCTCTGAACACACTGCACAAGTACCGTCTCCCCGCCCTCATGTCGGCGTCTCCAGCACGCAGGTCGCTGCCTCTACATCTCCCTGCACCGCTTCGGTCGAGCGGTGGTCCCCCGAGACCGGCGCTGTGAACAGCGTCTCTTCACACCTGCAGGCTGTGAACAGGCGAGCGGTGGTACCCCGAGACCGGCGCTGTGAACAGCGTCTCTTCACACCTGCAGGCTGTGAACAGGCGAGCGGTGGTACCCCGAGACCGGCGCTGTGAACAGCGTCTCTTCACACCTGCAGGCTGTGAACAGGCGAGCGGTGGTACCCCGAGACCGGCGCTGTGAACAGCGTCTCTTCACACCTACAGGCTGTGAACAGGCGAGCGGTGGTACCCCGAGACCGGCGCTGTGAACAGCGTCTCTTCACACCTGCAGGCTGTGAACAGGCGAGCGGTGGTCCCCCGAGACCGGCGCTGTGAACAGCGTCTCTTCACACCTGCAGGCTGTGAACAGGCGAGCGGTGGTACCCCGAGACCGGCGCTGTGAACAGCGTCTCTTCACACCTGCAGGCTGTGAACAGGCGAGCGGTGGTACCCCGAGACCGGCGCTGTGAACAGCGTCTCTTCACACCTGCAGGCTGTGAACAGGCGAGCGGTGGTACCCCGAGACCGGTGCTGCGTGCGAGACCGGCGGCGGCGGCGGGCAGGGACGGAACCTTAACGTGCCGTGGACGAGCGACGGACTGGCAGACTCCGACTACCTCGCCGCGTTTCGCCTCGTGCTGTGCCCGGTAATAATAAGAATAATAACAATAATAGAAGCGTGGGGGAAATAAATAAGAATAGTCATGATGATAATAATAATAGTAATAATACTAACAATAATAATAGCAGCCTCGTGCTTTGAAAAGTGGCTTGCGTCCCCCCCCCCCCCCTCCCAAAGCAATGGGTGAGCGTGCCTGAAGAGATCGCCTCACTCTTAGAGCATGGGCCACAAGGTGCTGGCGCAATTCTCGCCCGACTTGCTGCTCCTGTCTGCCGGCTTCGACGCCGCCGACGGGGACGCGCAAGGCAAGATGAAGGTGACGGCCGCGGGGTTCGCCCAGATGACGCAGCTGCTGCTCAGTGCCGTCGACTGCCCCGTCGCCGCCGCCCTCGAGGGCGGGTGAGACTCGCGGAGATTCGCCGAGATTTGCCGAGATTCGCCGAGATTCGCCGAGATTCGCCTGGATGACGTCGAGGGTGGGCGAGAGCCGCGTGTGAGGAACCACTTCTCGCTGACTCGGTATTCCGCCACTGGCCCAGCCACCTGGCTGATGCGCGCTTCTGCAGGGACAACTCGCGCGTGTGGCGTGCGAGTGCGAAGGAGCGCCTCCCTGAGTCAACGACTGGCTACTCGCTCTGCAGGTATAACTCGCGTGTGACGTGCGAGTGCTGCGAGGCCGTACTGCGAGTGCTGCTCGGCTCTTCGCCGCCGGCGACCTCCCCCACGCTACTCGCCCCGAGCGTTGAGCCGACGCTGCGTAGCGTGCTCGCACACAACGCGCCGCACTGGAGCGGGCTGCGCTACAGCGAGAAGGCGGTGCAGGACTTCTTCGCCGAGGCGGCGCGGGTGGGGAGCGCGCCTCGCGTCTCAAAGCGGCAGCGGACGGCGCCCGCTTTCGCCGACGAGGAGAGAGCGAACCCGCGCGCGGCGGAGCAGCAGAAGCTGGCGGAGAAGCGGGCGGCGAGGGAGGCGGCGAGGGGCGCGGCGGAGGAGGAGCGGGCGGAGAGCGCGGCGGCGCTCGCGCGCGCAGAGAGGGAGGTCAAGGCGGCGAGGCGGCGCTGTCGGGAGGCAGAGGAGGGGCTGCAGGTGCGGCGGAGGGGAGGGCGCCACGACACGTCCGCGACACGTCCACAACACGTCCACGACACGTCCACGACACGCCCACGACACGTCCACGACACACCCACGACACGCCCACAACACGCCCACGACACGCCCACGACACGCCCACGACACGCCCACGACACGCCCACGACACGTCCACGACACGTCCACGACACGTCCACGACACGCCCACGACACGTCCACGACACGCCCATGCAGGCGGCGGAGGGGAGGCTGGCGGCGGCGCGGGAGGCGCACGCGTTGCTCGAGCGAGGAGCGGGCGGCGAGGAGGAGGAGGAGGAGGACGATGCAAACGGGACGACGAACCCGCGCGGCACCGTGTCCTCTCGTCCTCACCGGCCCTAATGAGTCTTTGGCGACTGACACTTCATCTGTCGTGATCAAGGCACGGTCCTCTGGTCGTCTTCAGTGCGTTGCGTGCCGGGCCGCCGCTGCTTCGCGCAGTACGGCGATCTTGACGGCCGGCGCTGCATCGCTCGCGACAGCATCAGTCAGCTGATCCATCAGTGGTGAGTTCACCAGGCGTCGACGACGACGAGCTTTGGTTTCGTGCGACAGTGCTGCAGGCGACGCCGTGACGGCAAAGTGGTCTCCCGGCTGCGTTTCGGCCACACGCCTCCGCGCGTCTCGCGGCAGGTGTATCGCGACGACGTGGGTCAGTGGGCAGACGTCAAGTACGACGACGGCGACGAGGAGCGGAGGAGGCCGGTCGAGCGCAATCCCTCGAGATCACTCGAGATTTGGCGAGATAGGCGACGAGGAGCGGATGAAGCCGATCAAGCGCATCAAGGCGCGAGATATGGGGAGATATGGGGAGATAGGGGGAGATACACGATCAGGCCCATCAAGGCGCTGTGGCGGGGGCGTTTGGAGGAGGAGCGAGCGAGCTGCGGCCCGTGATCACCCGAGATTGCTCGAGGTTAGGCGCTCGAAGACTCGTCGTCGGACGAAGAGGAGGAGGAGGAGGAGGAAGAAGGGGGGCAGGAGGAGGAGGAGGAGGGCGAGGAGCCAATGCAGGAGTCTTCAGCCGAAATGTAGTAGCGCGGATCCTGGGATGTAAGCCAAGGGGTCGGCCTTGCACGTTCGGTCCGGCAGAGTCTCAGAGCTAACGTAGAACACGCGTGCGTGACGGTCGACTACGGGTTGTTTCAAAAATGCAACACCTGTGTGTATGGCCACCTCAGATCTCACCTCGGCACACGGCGCCACCTCGGCTTACACGTCTCACAGTTTACGGCTTTATTAACCACGTCAGTATACTAAGGTCTAAGGCACCCGCGTCAGTACGGTACTACCCGCGTGGCGCGTGCGTGCGCGAACGCGAGCATCCGCAGCGTGGCCGAGAGTCCTGCAGCACCGGCGAAGTCATCGCCTGCGCTGCCACTCCAGTTGACCGCTTTCGTCTCGGCCGGCGGCCTAAAGAAAAGAAAGAAGACGGACAACCCAAGGTAGGGTGCCCACAGGACCCAAAAAAAGAAAAGAAAAAAGAAATGGGCCATCCGCGATCGCAGCACTTCGTGTTGGCTAGTCGAGATATTGAGAGTGTGACTAGGAGGGTGGGACGCTGGGGATTCTCAAAGGTATACCCTTGGAATGGCCGGATCCAGCCTTAAAAGGACGAGATCGCGCGCGCTTCGCGCACAGCACCGCCTGTTCTCCGCGGCTGTGTGACGACGCGTGCCGTGTACCAACAGAATTGGGCGCGCGCGGCGCGACGGCGCCCGCGAGGGAAGGCGCGGGCGCAGCGGCCGCCGGCGGCTGTGTCGCCCGCCAGCCGGCGCAGCAGCGGCCAGCGCAGCGGCCGCCGGCGCAGCAGCCAGAGCAGCCGGTGCGCGCCTTGCGAGGCGAGTACTGCCGCCCGGCAGCCTTGAGGCGGCCGGGCGGCAGTACTCGTTCGAACTTTGCGAGCCGTGCGCGCGCCGAGGCGCCCGCGGCGCGCGCCCGCCCGGCTGCCAGTAGGAGGCGGCGCAATATGGCCTATAGTACAGCCCTTGAGGAGGAGGAAGAGGCTGGCTGGCAGTGCTGTATGCCGCCGAGGGGCAGTTTTGGGGTGCTGAGTCACGCCCAGGGGGCTGCAGAACGCGTCCGCAACCGGGACAACCCGCCCCCCCAGCCGAGGCCGGTCGAAGCCCACTTGGGAGCAGCCATGAGGAGTCCTCTTGGTGCTCCTCGCGGCCGTTTGAACCTCGGGCGCGCGCCGATGGGGGGGGGGGGGGTCTTGCTTGCTCCACACCGAGCGCCATCGGTCCGGACCGGTGCTCCCACCGAGGGTCGGCTTGCACAAGGTCTGAGCCGCGGGCGCTCGGCGCCAAGTGCAGTGTCACGCTTGCGCTGGAGCGGCTCACAATGGGGAACCCTCGTTTCCTAGTCACTCGGTCCCCCAACGGAAGAGGCCTCTCTCCTATTGGAACTGGCCAACATCAGATTTGCCGCGTGCGTCCCTTTTTGAGATGGAAAGCTATTTTCTTTTGGGTCCTGTGGGCACCCTACCCAAGGGAGGGATGGGAGAACGGCACGCCGCCACCACACAGGGATTTTAAGAGCGTCCAGACAGCGTGAAAAACAAAAGAAAGAAAACAGACAACCCAAGGGAGGGATGGGAGAACGGCACGCCGCCACCACACAGGGATTTTAAGAGCGTCGAGCCTTTTCTTTTGGAAAGGAGGTTCGCAGCACCCTGAGGGAGGCGGCGAACCAGCTGAGCAACAAACTTTCGCACGCTCAGCACCTGGACGAGGTCACATGGACCACCAAGAACTGGCACGGGCTGCAGATGCAGCGCTTGTCTGTCGTCCTCCACACCGCCGTGGCGTGGCAGACGGTGAACGAGCTAGCGTGCGGGGAGAGCGGCATTGTGCATGGTGCGGAGTGCATTGCCGTTCTTAACGGAGTCGCTTAGGCGGCTCCGGTGGTGAGCCGGTGTGTGTGCCAGTCCGCGCCAGTCCGCGCCCTTGTCGTGCCAGTGTGCTGTGAGAGAGGCTTGTATTTTAAGAATTCTTTTTTATTGACCAGTGCCATGGACATCCGTGAGGCGGCGTGGGTCGGCACGTGGGCCCTCGTCACGCGGCCGATACGTGAGCTGCACGAGCCATTCCGCGACCTCGACGTGGCCCTCGCGCCGGGAGAGCGCTTCGACGAGCTTCGGGAGGCTCACAAACGCCTCCGCGCCCTTCGCGACGAGGTCGGCAAGACGTGGCGCGAGTGGGACGGGCGCACGCTATACCAAGACGTCGTCGGGCCCTTCAAGGAGACCAAGGCGGTGGGACGGCGCCGCTACCACCCGCCCAAGCTTACGCCGGCGGCGGAGCTGCTGCCTCTTCCGGAGTTCTCGTCTACCAGCGAGTTCTTACAGCAGGCGCAGCGGCGGTACACCGTCGGCGTACACCATCGCAACTGGCTCGCCCTCGCCGACGCCTTCGTCAGCGAGGCATCCCGGCGGGGCGGCCGCTACAAGACTGGCAGGTGCAAGAACCACAAGTGCTGGCGCGAGGCGATTCGGTTCGTCGCAGTCAGCCAGGAGGGGGCTGGCGCCTTCCTGAATGCGATCCCCATGCGGGATGATATGAAGATGGAGACGTGGGCGATGCGCATTACAGTTCAGCGCCGCCTCGGCCTCCCGCTCGATGTTGCCTGCCAGGCGGTGGAGGCGGGCAAGAAGGCGCCAAACGGCAAGCCGCACGAAGAACTCGGCGATGCCGCAATGGTCAACCCGCGTGCGAAGCACGCGACACGACACAAATACCTGCTCAAACGACTCGTCAAGACCCTTCGCTCGGCGTGGGGCATGCTCATCGAGATGGAGCCGACTGCACACCTCAGTTACAGTAACCCAAAACAACCTGACGTGGCGGCGGCGAACATCGGCAAAGGGCATGTGCGCCTCGTTGGCGACTTGAAACTGACGTATGATGTAACTTATTCGGACCCCCCCCTGGGCGCCTCGTGTTTTTCGTGCCAAACCAGCGCGATCTCGGCGGGGCGTCAGCGCCTCTCGGAGGGGCATCATGCGCTCCCGGGGCCGCCCGACGGCGCGGGCCTCTTGCTGATGGACCCAGCCGAGGTGCCCAACCAGTCGGAGTGGCGCTGACGCGCTGCGCGCGACCACCAGCCAGCTTTTCAGCGAGGCCGAGCACGGTGCGCCGAAAGAGTAGACACTCAAAGTAGCAGCCGCTTTTTTTGCCTCTTTTTGAGCGCGGCTGCTGCACACCCAGTCCACCAGTGATACTAGACGCACCAGATTTACCCCGTCGCGAGCTTGACCGCGACCCCTGTGACCGCCCACAGGTGGCTGATCGAAGCGCCACCACGGCTCGCCAAGCCTCCAGATTCCAGGCCACGGCCGGAAAAACGGATAGATACTACGGTCGGAAAGGATTACAACCCTGAAAAGGAATTTAACACGCCCAACCCCGAAGATACACACCGAAGATACACACCGAAGATACACGACACAGCTTCGAAGATACACAGACCCCGTAACGAACGACGCCCCGCGACTCGACTCGGTGTGCATTGAGCTGCCCTGCCGTTGCACCTCTCCGCTCGCGTCTCGGAGCCGGCGGGCGTGTTCGTCCTCTGAGCCTTAGCCGCCCAGAGCACACGCCTCGAGCCTAAGCACTTCGCCCATACCTCTCTCGCGCGGCCTTTGCGCGTGCCTGCGCTGCCACTCTGCGCATGCCCGACCCCCGGCTCAATCGAGACGTTCGGCGGCTTCGGGGACGGCGTCCGCAGAATTCTTCGGCAGGCGGCGGACCAGCTGAGTAACAAACTTTCGCACGCTCAGCACCTCGATGAGGTCACATGGACCACCAAGAACTGGCACGGGCTGCAGATGCAGCGCTTGTCTGTCGTTCTCCACACCGCTGTGGCGTGGCAGACGGTGAATGAACGAGCTAGCGTGCGGGGACAGCGGCATTGTGCACGGAGCTAAGTGCATTGCCGTTCTTAACGGAGTCGCTTAGGCGGCTCCGGTGGTGTGCCGGTGATAGTACTAGCACGCGCCAGTTCGCACCTGTGTCGAGCCTGTGTGCTGTGAGAGAGAGTTGTTTTAACTATCGTTTTTATTTTTTGTGAGGAGCTTGATGGCTCGATGGCTCGCGCGAACTCGTCGCGGGCCACAGCGACTGAGCGCCTCGTGCTGATCCCAGCCATAGACAAGAGGAACACGACTGGTTACAAGAGCGTGACCTACAACTGCAGCAAAAAGAAGTTCCAGTCCCGAGTGCAGGATGGCGGCAAGGGTGTCTCTCCCTCGGCTTCGACACTGCTGAAGAGGCGGCTGTCGCCTACGCTCGCTCAGAGTACGGCCGCGCCGACGCCGCCAAGCTGCTGCAGCCTCGCGCTGCTCCCACTGCCGCTGGCGCCGAGGCGATACGGCAGGCGGAGAGGGAGGGCCTGACTCTGGCCACCAGCAGCAACAGCAGCAGATACAAAGGCGTGACCTTCAAGCCGAAGGAGCGAGGCAGCAAGAAGTACGAGCTGCGGGTGTGGGTCGGCGGCAAGAAGGTTTTCCTCGGCATGTTCGCCACTGCCGAGCAGGCGGCGCTCTTCTACGCCCGCAGGGAGGCGGGCAGGGACACCAGCGATCTCACTGCGCCGCCGCCGCCGCCGCCGCCGCCCGCGCCTTCCTCTGACGCTGGCGCCGAGGCAGTCCGGCAGGCGGAGAGGGAGGGCCTTACGCTGGCACCAGCAGCAGCAGCAACA